CCCACGGCCCCCCTGGCCCCAGCACAGCCCCCTGCCCGCTCCTCTCCCTGCTCGCCGGGCTCTCCCGCACTCGTGCCCCTGCCCGTCTCGGGAAGGGAAGCACCAGCTCTTCCCTCCCGGGGGGCAGAGGCCCCGCACACGGAGCGGGTGTTGCTGCCCGCAGAGGTGAGTTCCCTGGCCCGCGGCCTCTCCGGGGCGAGCGAGGCTTTGGGAAAAGCGAAGAGAAGCAGAGCTGAGTCTCCTCGTCCTCGAGGAAGGATTGCAGCAGGTTTCCACGTTTGATATTAGGGTAAGGGAGGGCTTTGGTGAGATTCTTCCCACACTGATCTGAATGCAGCCGGCAATTCTCCCACCTCCAAGGGCTACAGGGTAATCACGGTGAGAGATGAGATGAGAAATTGCCCGAGCACCTTCGGTGCATTTCTACCCAGGAGCCAGCACAGTGGGGCAGCCTGCCCGCCCAATGCCACCGGAGCGCTAAATAAACCTGCGATTTATCATGAATTCTGTTCATTCACTCTGAGTTGCAGCAGCAAAGCTATCATCATGATGGCAGGCAGGAAACGTTGTCAGCACAGGATGGTGGCTTGGGAGGCCCGTAGCCGGGCTCTCACACTTCGCTGCCTGCTCCCAGCACAGGACTGGGCACGGTTTAACGGCTGCTCACGGCTCATCCTCAGTGCTGGAGGATGCCCGCGCTCCACACCACCGCCCCGGCCCCACAGGATGCTCATCCAGGCAGAGCAGGATCCTTCCTGGCTGCCAAAATCCATCCTGTTCTCCACAACCGATCGATCCGGAGACACTCTGCTGCTGGAAGAGAGATGATCGTGCCTGACCTTGATCCAATCTGCTAAACCAGCTCCGGAGGAAGTAAATGCTGTCGAGATGTACAAGGGGTTTATCTTGTATCTTGATCAGGAGCACTCCACAGGCAGTTCGAGACTGGAAAAGCTTCTCTAAATCCAGGAAAGCCTCCAGCAGGGGCCCCCCGCAGCCCCCAGGCACGGCGCAGCCCCCGAAGCTCCGCGCTCCGCACAGCGGCCTTGGCACAGGCGTTTGCTCCTGCAAGATGGGGCAGAAATGTCCGGGACGGTTTGGAGCACGAGTGACCTTAATGCAAAACGACAGCTCATCTTCAGGTCTATTCTGGGATCTGCCTAGATACCGGCGTGTAAACACCGAGGAAGGAAGCTCAGCTCCGGGGAGGACGTCTCCAACCAGCTTTCACTCCCCCACGGTTTATACTTAGCCGCCGTCGGAAGCGCTTGCCCCTCTGCGGGGCACCGGTGCCGGAGCGTGCCGTGGTGTGCCAGGGAGCGTGCGGGCT